AACCTTCAAATTACCTTTAACTTCTAACAGACCTCCTGCAGCCTTGCACTGCCACAGGCTTCAAGGATGGAAAGTGAAGAAGAGGCTTAAAAGGCTGCACAAAAAAAATAATTTAGAGTAACTGACGACTTGCAGGAAACAGACAAATTTTGGCCAGAAAGCAAACATGCACCAGTAATACCGATATGCTGTATGGGACTTGGGCAGTCCCCAGCCACAGGTGTAAGGAGGAGTTCTGGAGACAAGTGAGTAAAGGGAAAGAATGAAATAAGAAAGGAAATGTACTAAAAGGAAGACCCATCATCCCTTCTCCAACCAAAACACCTCCTTTCATAAAACAGCACAGAAGAAAACAGAGTGTAGAAATAAATACTCTCAAACTAGAAACCCTTTCCAAGAAACAAGAACAGGAAAAAAGCAGATAAAAATCATTTTTGAAAAAAACAAAAACCTAGTGCAAGAAGGTCCTAAAATACCAATAAAGCATTTCTGCTGATGAAGCCTCCATCCCTAACCAACCACAATCTTGAGGAAAACTGCAACATAACATTCATACTGAATTAAATATTACCAAACAAGCAACTGGGGCTATAAAAATGCACTTTGAATGAAACAAAAGTTAAAAGCATAGACCAGAAGACCAAGAAAAAAAAGAAGAGAAAGAAAAAGAGGAGGAAAGGAAAGGGAAGGGGGAAAGAAGGGAGGGGAAGAAAAGAAGTAGGAATAGGAGGGAAGAGAGGAGAAAATCTGAAATAAAAAATAATTTGGCCAGGCATGGTGGCACATGTCTGTAACCCCAGCACTTGGGAGGCTGAGGCAGGAGGATTGCTGCAAGCTCCAGGCCAACCTGGGCTACAAAGTGAGTTCTAGGCCAGCCTGAACTGCATAGTGAAACCCTGTCTCAAAAAGACAAAAAGAAAAAGACCAAACTCAGGAAAAAGAAACAGAGTAACAACAGTTCTTTAAAAGTATATAAAAAAAATGAAGATTAAATTATAAGGTATCCAAAGACAGAGAACAGATTCAAATGAAAACTTATTAAAGGGCACTGGGGCAAAAAAAGCAAGAAAATGTAAATAAGTCAGAGGAAAAAAGTGGGTGAAATGAAAAACAAGCAAAGAAAGTGAAATATATGTATAATGGGTCTCTAAAGAAAAATCAACATAAAATGAATAACTATTATTTTTAAAACAGAAATTTAAAAAAAATTTAATCTTATAATGCAAAACCATTTTTTAGAAATAAAACAATTTGAATGTACACATAGAAACAATCCTATAGATAGATACCAGAGCAAAATGACCCAGGACAATCAACCCCAAGTTCTAAAAGCCTAGTCCTTAACGATAAAAGAAAAAAATCAGCAGAGCCTCCAGGTCAAAAAAGAAAACCACCTACAAAGTCAAGAGAATAAGACTGGCATCCTTTGTTTAAAAAAGTGCAGCAGTATTTTCAATAAACTTAAAAGATAACTCAAAGACACATACACACAAGCGTTCCTTAAAGTACCAAACCCACAGAAAAACAATTTAGGACATTCCAGAAACCAGAGGACAGTCGAATGTGCCTTTCCTGAGGAAGCTACCAAAGGATAATCTTTAATCAGAATATGGCTTGTGAAATATTAGAGAAGGACTAATATTGAGTATTTTATCTATTTAACTGGAGAGCAAGACTAAAATAAAGGTGACTCACAGGTTAAAAAATAAAGCTTTTCTTCAAATAAAAGAGCAAATCATGTTACTAATAAATTCTAAATATAGGAGAAGAATGCAAAGAATTTCAAGTGACTTAAATATTCATTATAATTTCTACTAAATTGATAATGCAGCATCTAAAATGGGTGAAAGCTGCCTATTGAAAAAAATCATGAAACATTCATAACACAAAACAAACATTAAATTTCATGGGATTAGTCAGGTGTAGAACTCAGGATGGAGAAAATAAGTTTTTGATATAACAGTTTCAAGGTTGTTATCAAATAATTTAACTATAGCAAAATAAATTAAGTTTGAAAGAAGTTTATGATTGTGCTTAAGGCATGAGGTTATTAAGTAGTTCAAAACACATTTTACAAAAGAATATGATTTCACATAAACTTACTTTTTCAATCATGCTATTCTTAGCTTATATTAAAGTAACTATTCACAGGCAGATATAGTGATTAGAAACCAGAATCACTGATGCCAAAATAATAAACAGCCAGACTAAAAATAACAGTTAAGGCAAACACAAGGTCATGAGTTCAATGCCAGGTACCGGAAAAAACAACAACAGCAACAAAAAACAGTTAAGGGCCAGGGATATAGCTCGCTGGTAAAGCACCTGCCTGGCAAGTGCAAGGTTCTGAGTTCAATTCCTGGTACAAAAATAAAAAAAAAATAAAAATAACAGTTAACATTTGTTTGGTACCTATCCCCTGTTTACAAATTGCTTAGCATAATCTCATTTAGTCCTCACATGTTTATGAAGCTGGATATTTAATTATCTCCATTTCATACTTGAAGATATTGGACACAGAGAATTACCTAGCTCACATGAAGTCACAGAAATATAAATGGATGAACCGGTACTTAAACCCAGTTCTGACTTCATGGGTCATGCTCTTAAATTAATATGCTATTCTGCCTAATATCTTAGTTAAGTACAGTAATTTAGCCTAGACTACTTATTTTCCATAAATGATATTTCTTAACTTCATAAAATAATTGTTCAGGGTGGTAATCCAGTCTTCTAGATAAAGGTTCAAGCTTCTTTTCTTTTTGTGGTACTAGAGAATGAATGCAAGGGCCTTCACACTGAGCTACATCCTTAGCCCTTTTATTTTTTTTGAAGTTTTAAATTTTGAGACTGGGCTAAGTCACTAAGTTCCCCAGGTTGGGCTCAAGCTCATGATTCTCCTGCCTCAGCCTCCTAGAGTGCTGGGACTACAAGTGTGTGCCACCAAGCCCAGTCAAACTATTTTTAAAAGTATTAAAAAAATTATATTGTCAGCTTCCCTCAGCTCCTATCTCTCTGTCCCTCGTCCTGTAGTCTGTTCTACCCAGCAACTAAATCTTACACTCCCATTGCCCTGAACTCTGGCAGCTTCATGAGGAAGCAGACACGGACCTTTCTCACGTCTAGTCCTGCTTACATGTTGTTTCTACAGGGCAACCACCTTTCTCCTTCTCCCAACCATTTTCTCCTTACCATCCGTCAATGACCACTGTAGGTAAGGCTCCTCAGAGAAGCCTTCTTAGCACCCATCAACTGACCTCTGTGTTTCTTTTGCAGTTTAGTGGTCTATTATCTGTGTCCTTACGGGTGCAAGCGAAGTATTTAAGAACAAGAGTTTTTTAAATGCCAATTAAAAAAAAATACTTGATAAGGTTACTGAAAAAGATAATTTATATTTTGAGTTGATTCCAATTATGTACCCACTCATAGTGTAATTAAAATTATTAGTTTTAATAACCTAGCTATTATTCAATTTGACATCCAATGGTAAGTTATATTTTTTTTAAATGACGCAGTAATAAGTTTCAGAAAAATATCAGAGAATGTTATTTTAAAGTATTTGAACATTTTATTTTTCTTACTAAAAATGCAGTTCTATTTTCTAATAGAAGAGTATACTGGAGGCTGGGGATATAGCTCAGAGGCACAGCACCAGTCTGGCAAGCGTGAGGTAATGAGTTTGGTTCCCAGTACCAAAAAAAAAAGTATGCTGATCAGAAAAGGAATAAACAATGAATAGGTAAGACATCTTGACAGAGATCTATCATTAATTATCATGCAAAAAAAATCTACGATATACCACTGGTCCTCAGTCTATCATATCTTAGTAATACAATCTCTATCATATCACAGAGAAACATTTTCCCCCCTCTCTGATATTACTTTCAAAGATTAAAATTTATGTCATCTTAGCTCACTATAACTGCCCTTTTATTCCTGAATATTTTTTATTTTTTATTTTTATTTTTGGCTTTTTCTCTGGTACCGGGAACCGAACTCACGACCTTGCGCTTGCCAGGCAGGCGCTTTTGCCACTGAGCTAAATCCCCAGCCCCTATTCCTGAATATTGCTAAATGTATCCAAATTCTTTTTTGGATATCCAAAATCATTTTTGGCTTGGAAAACCTTATGAATAACTAATGAGTTCCTCTACTAATTCAGGAACATGTTCTTGTTTCATTTATTTATTTAATTATTTTATTTTTTTTCCCGGTACCGGGAATTGAACTCACAACCTCATGCTTGCCAGGCAGGTGCTGTGCCGCTGAGCTAAATCCCCAGCCCCCATGTTCTTGTTTTAATTTAACTTATTTCTCTGAATTTAAAGCATTCTAAGAACAAAAATATGAGCCCAATATTACCTTATCCATAAAATTCACTATGCATACATAACAGTTTACAAAACAGCAGGAAGTCGGTGGATTTTCTTTTAATCTGTTCAGGAATTCCATGTTTTGGGTGAGATGAAGAAGTATATTCTGATCTACCCAACATTAAATAATCAAGCAAAGGCTACTACTTGCAAAGTAAAAATTAGATGACCAATGGAAGTCTACAATATATGTGAATCAGCAGAACTTAAATTTTAGTTCTTCTAACAATGAAATGATAAATAAGATATAATTATAGAAAAACAATACAATAAGATAATGCTTTATCAGTTCTTTCATCTGATAACTGCAACAACTATTGCAGAACATTCTAATAGGCAATGTTAAACCATTTAAACCTTAACTACCTTTCCTAAAATTCATTAAAAACTCTCAAAGAAAAATGAAATAAAAATAAAAGACTATATTACCTGTATAAAAAAGCAACATGTAAGGGGAAATTTAAAAAGATGCTCTTATATTAAAAATTTTATTAAGTAATAATTAAAATAAAACGTTAAAAAAAAATCTTGGTCCTCTTACAAAAATCTTTCACAATAATACTTCTCCACAAAACTGAGTGACTAGTCTGTACTTTTTTCTCATAATAAATTTGCAGTTATATTCACCTTCAGATCCCATGATGAAGTGATGGATATCAGGGCCTGTTGACATGCGAGGTCCTTGACAACTTTTTTCTATCACACCTCTAGGTGTCACTACTTTCATATGAACCACCTGTTTAACACAGCAAAGGATATAAATTCTAGGTATCAGTAGGTGTGTGTGTATACCTGCACTTATACATTTACACAGGACACTATTTTTAAAATATTGGGTTAAATTACAAATCGTGATGCCATTCAGAATGCTAGTATCTTTTAGTAATTATTTAAAGTAAAATTATATAAAGGTTATGTACAAAAAAAAACTTTTCTAAGATTATGATCCACCTCTTGATTTAAATTGATTTAAATATATTCATTAGCTTAAGAATGAAAAAACATTTTTTTAAATGAAATGTAGTCTAGGGTTTTCCATAGGACAAAGAATCAAAGGACTTTAAGAAAACAGCAATGGTAACACATTACAGGTTCAGCCTTTCATTTACTTACTTAGTGCTTACTTACACAGTGAAGCACTATTATTCATGTCAGGCACTGCAGTAGATGCTGAGAATGCTAGGGAAAAAGTTATTCTTGCCTTACTCCCACCTTCAACCCCATTTTGGGAAAAAAGAATGAAATATTAATTATAATGACATCGAAGTCAGGGTGGGAATGGAGATATAGCTCCGTGGTAAAGTACTTGCCTAAAATGCAGAAGGCTTTGGGTTAGATCCCTTGTACCCAAAAACAAAACAAAACAAAACACTATGTTCGGCCAGCAGGGACTGAATTAAAAAGGAGGAGCAGGGATGTACACAATACACTGCACAGCTGATAAAACAGGTACGACGGGAAAGGAGGATCATCCTAAAAATAGTTCCTGATATCTGATTAAGAAACAAGTAAGAATCCAACACATTTTATAATAGATTTCTGACAGATAAATTACAACAATTTGTTTATCACTGAATGAAATGAATAGAGGACATCAATAACCAATTCACAAAATAAGAAAAGAGGACATTTTAAAAGTTTACATTCAGCAGCAGTTAAAGGAATAGTAAATTAAAATAAAAATGTAAGTAAAAGGTTCACTCAGAGTACTACTGAAAATATCAGTTGGTACAAAAGATTTAAAGGGCAGTTTGGCTGTAAGGATCCCCAGAATCTAAAACGTATCCAGCAGTTCAACTTCTAGGAGATTACCCAAAGAAACTGATCAGAGATGTGTATCCAAAAAAAAATCACAGAAGATATTTCATCTATTATTTCATAATTTTGAAATCAAGAATAATTTAAACACTCACTATAAAAGAAGACTGTCTAGTAAACCATGAATTAGTCACAGAAATTATATAAAATCTAAAAATGATGGTGCAGGGCTAGGGATACAGCTCAGCAGTAGAGTGCATATAAAGTACACACAAGGCCCCTCAGTTCAGTCCCCAGTACTACAACAAAAACAAAAAAATAAAAATAATAACACAAACCTATATTCACTCATTCATGTTAAAATGTTAATATAAAGAACAAATTATACAGTATGACCTTCTGTTTCATATTAAGAACTAGATATAGCCATGTATTTATGGTATACCTAGAAAAAGGTCTTGAAGGATAAATACAAAAAATGTTAAAATTATTGGAAATGACTTTCTGCATTTAAATACAAAGCATAAATTATTTTTATACTTCTCCAAAGTGCACTATTATTTTTTAAATAAAAAGAAATTGCTTTCTAATTGCTTAAATTGTCCATATAACAACTATGACTTTAAAAGAAGTATTTTCTTCGAAAATTTAATAATCTCTATATCATAATTTCATTTCCTGAGTGAAGATACAGAATTTTTAGTTTGATTTTATTACTATAGATTTTAATTTTCTTCTTTCTAATAGTGTTTCCTAACCAAAAAGTACAGCAAAGCACCCGCCATAAGCAGCGGATTATTACTAATGGCCATTAACTTGAATTCAGATGCAGCAGCATAAGAAAGTATAATCAGAAATGTTCAGGAAACCCTTGAGTGAAGTCATTAAACTGAAGATACTTGATTTAAGACTGTAATTGGAATTCCTATAAATGTTCTTGAAAACACGCAAGAACCAGAATTTAAGGTGAAAAGTTTATCCCCTGTACATAGAAAAGTATTCAAGAATTTGGAAACTTCAGATTACACTAAAAATGTAGATTAATTAATTTCAACTTTTTGTAGACTAAATAACTTTTCAGCTTTTTCAAATAGTTCAACAATGTCAGTATCATTATTTACTGCACTTTAAGTATGTACTAATATCAGTTAAATAAATATTAATCATGCCTGCAAACCCAGCTACTCAGGAGGCTCAAGGGTCAAAACTTCAAGGCCAGCCTGGGCAATTTAGCAAGCCCCTATCTCAAAATAAAATTTAAAGAGGGCTTGAGATGCAGCTCAGTGGTGGAACACTGCCTAGCATTTGTGAGGCCCTAGGTGCAACCCCCAGCACCATTAAAAAAAAAAAAAGAAAGAAAGAAAGAAAAAAGGCTAAGTAAATTAAGATTGTCTCAGAGGACTCAAGATGTTCCAAAAAGTTTTAAGTTAAAATATGCTAAGTAATTACTAGCGCAAATAAGTACATTAGAATGTACACTTATAATCTATGGTTCTTAATTATCTCCCAAAATAAACAGCATGCTTCAGCAGTACTTAAATACAGTTTATCAAGTATTTGCCTTATTCTAATATATTAATAATCCAATAGCAAAGAGATCAAATTTTCTCCCCTGCAAATAAATTTAGGTTATTTTAACTGCAAAAATAAAAATACCATTTTAAAAATGTCCTCAGTAAAAGAAAATAAAGAGATGGAAGGGTAGTTCAGAAGCAGAGCACTTGCTGAACATGTAAGACCCTATGTCTAGCCACAGCACCACCAAAAAAAAAAGAGAAGATAATGCAAACATTTATGAAGAGTCCATAACACAGACAAAAGTCTTAAAGGGTCCCACACATGCTAGGCGAGTCACTGCCACTGAGCACCACCCCCAGCTCCACTTAATTTTTGAAGACTTTTAACCTCTTTATAATAAGCTCTAAACACCAACAATATTTATATAATAACCGGAAAAAAATTCACCAGGTCCTCAATATTGCCATAGATGTTCTTCTTCATGCCTGATGCCCGAGTAGATATCCATCCTCCCACCGTGCTGAATTCCAGGGAATCTGGTTCATGACCTGTACAATAACCACTTTCTTTAAGCTGAAAAACAAAAATGTAACATTTTGCTAGTGAAAATGGTCCCTCTTCACACAACACTCATTAACTTCTCCCACTTTAAAATTTCCAGAAATCACTGATATTCATTTATTAAAACCTCTATAGAAAAAAAACACACACACATTAATTTTACTAGTCCTAAAAACAAATGAACAAACAGAAACTTTTTTTAAGCTTTTGCCTAGTGGAAAACTTTGTAAAACTGAGAAGTGTGGCCCAAAAGAGCTGCATTTTCCACAGATTCAATGGGCAATCTTACTTCTTAAATCCTTTTATATTAAAGCCATCCATTCCTCCTCAAAGAGACAATTTAAATACTTAGGGAGATCAGATTATGCTTATTTAACTGCCAACTTCACCTACCACATACACTCTCAAAAATAATCTCCCATTCTCCCTACCCTAATATAACATGCAGCAGGCCTGCAGGAAATCTGAGCAAATTGCCTGTACTTAATTCGCTCAAGGAGTCATGTGTTTTAATGTACAGCCATCTGGCTCGGTTTCCTGCATGTAATACCATCATTTATTTGTGATGTGGATCATGCATTCCTGTACATTAAATAGTCACTTGTTTCTCATTTTTCTATATTAGCTTGGCTCTGCCATCTGTACAGCACCTGAGGTTGAATGGATGCCCTTTACTGCCAAACACCAAAGCCATTCCACTGAAATCACTTTAGAGACTCAGCCATCTCCTGTCAAATGGTACAGACACTACCATCTGCACACCCACTGTCTACCGCACTCCAGCCCATCAATCTGCATTGACCATTTTGATAGGCATCCAGTGAAGCAACTGCTTCTATTTTTCAAGTAAGCCATGCAGAGATGCAAAATATGTCAGCTATGGTATAAAAGTTATAATCCAAAATTTAAAAGCCTATTAGGTTAAACATAATTTGTTAGGTTTTATACACCAGCAATGCAAATTGTTTATCTTTTCTAGTTTAGCTGCTTGAAAAACAAGATTTGAGAAGACATAAATTGCTACATAAGATTTTTGTCATTATATATTCAATATATTTATTCAACTTTAAGAGCTTACTAACCACCCACAAATAAACCAGATATATGGCTGATTGGGTTAAAAATCAAGATTATCAGATGGTTGCATTTCTTCCCTAACTCATCCCCAAACAATCTATAATGACATTATTTTCTCTCAAAAGAGTACTGCTGCTAATTTTATGAAATTAGAAGAAAAAAACACATTCACAGATCCCTAAGATATGGTAGGCACAATATAGAGTTCTTGCTTATATATGTTTACTACAAAACAAATCTGTACACTACCTCCACAAAAGCAGGTCATTAAATATATAAACTATTTCTACTGGTATATTCTATATTAGATATATTATTAAATTGCCCCTTATATCTGGCAGGCTACTTCATCATTTTCTTCAGTAGTAAGTAGCTACTATGTGCCAGGAACTGTATAAAGCAACAAAGATAAAGATCCAAAATACTGGTAGGTAGCAATGCTGAGGGAGCACAACCTAGCACACCAATTTTAAATCTACTTCCTTTCTTTAAAATCTCATTAACTTCCTACAGTGTAGGTGAAGTAAGTATAATGTTTAAAAGCCTGGGTTTGGGATTTATCATTTACTCTAGCAAGAAAAGACACATACTACATCATGCTAATTTAATACGAAACAACTGTTGGCATATAGTAAGTGCTTAATGAATGGTATCTACTACCATATATATTCATCTATTTACTCCTTTAAAAGTCTCTGTTAATGTCATTAAGTACTAAGAAAAATGTGCTGAACATCAAGATTAATTCATACAATTAACCAATTACTCTTTTTTTTTTAAAGTGGTGCTAGGGACTAAACTCAGGCTTTAGTGCATGCTAAGCAAATGCTCTACCACTTTTCTAATCTGTACCCCCAAAATATTCTTCTTAAATAAAATAACCTCTCTGCTCCAAGCTACACTGCATAAATATGACTACGTCCATCAATCACCATGTTCCGTGAAGCTCTATGGCAATAGGAAATTTTATCTTACCTCTGTGTCTCTCTTCAACCAAAACAACAAATATTTACTGACCCTGTGCTAAGTATTAGATACATCATCAAAACAAAGAAAAAAAAACATAAATTGTGGAGGTTGTACAGTAGTCTCCCCTTATCCACAAAAGATACTTTCAAGACCCAGTAGATGTCTGAAACTGTGAACAGTACTGAACTCTATATAAATAACATTTTACGGCTTCTTTCTGGCATGTACAAATTGCCAGCATCACTACTGTTGCCCTGTGGAGCCATTATTCTGTAAAACTGTTCTAAATTAAAGATCCATACCAGTAATCCTAAAACAAAAAAAGAAAAAAAGAAAAAGTTACTGTTAATAAAGTATATAGAGTAACTTTTAAAATATTGATCTTTTAAAAGGCAGTAAATGGAAAAGAACAAAAACCTGATGGAGAATATAAACAAATATAGAATGACTATCCCTTATCTGAAATTCTTAGAACCAGAAGCATTTCAGATTTTTCAAATTTTAGAATATTTGCATATATAATGAGATACCTTGGGGGTGAAAACCAGATCTGAACACAACATTCACTTATATTTCATAAACATCTTAAAACACATAGCCAGAAAGTAATTTTATACTGTATTTTTAGGGCACTTGCACTTTGACTACAACCCATCATTGTGGGGTTGAGTGAAATTTTCCACTTGTGGCATCATACTAGCATTGTAAAAGTTTCAAATTTTGGAGCATTTCAAATTTCAGATTAGGAACACTCAACCTATAGCAAGAAGACAGACTTAAACAGAAAGTGTCAATAAACTGCACTGAAGTTGAATAGCCTAAATGTTCCCAATGTAAAAGAAACAAGTGTCAAGTAAGATAAACAGGAAAGACCCAATCATATACTGCCTACAAAAAAGGCATTTTAAATATAAATCTAGAAATGGGTTAAAAAGAATAGAAAAAGGTAAAAAATATAATTTTCAGTGGTTATTTTAATATCAAAGTTGACTTCAGAGCAAAGAATGTTATTAGAAATAAAAGTCATTTCACAAGGACAAAAAGGGTCCACTAGCAGAGAAGACATCAGTCTTAAACACCCGTTCCCTAATAAGTTTTAAAATACACAAACCAAAAACTGTTAGAACTGCAAGAAACAATGCACAGATCTCCAATTACAGTTGAACATTTTAATAGAATAGAATACACAGAAAATTAAAGAAGTCCTGAACAATATTATAAATCAATTAGACCTAACAGACATCTATCAACTACTCTACCAAACAGCACATGACACATTCTTCGTAGGTGCACACATGGAAAGTTTACAAAATATACCGCATTGTGTGCCATAAAACAAGTATCAGTAAGTTCAAAGGAGATAAGTTGTATACAATGTGGGTTTTTTTTTTTTTAACACAGTGGAATTAAGACAGAAATCAGTAACAGAAAGATGTGTGGAAAAAAAATCCCTAATTGGAAACTAAATAACATACTTATAAATAACCACTGAGTCAAAGAAGAAAATTAAAAGGGACTAGGAAATGTGAAATAAACAAAAAAGACAGACATGTCAAAATATATGGGATACCAACAGAGCAGTAGATAGGTGGAAATTTAAAATGTTAAAACCTTTATTAGAAAGACAGATGGACATCAAGTATCTTAACTTCTGCCATAAAACCCAAAAAAGTTATTTGACAAATCCAACATCCATTCCTAATAAAAATGCTCTACAAGCTAAAAAAGGGACTTCCTCAGACTTAAAAAAAGAACATCTAGAAACAACACTCAATCTTACACTTAGTGATAAAGTTGTGAATGCATTTCTCTTAGAAAAAGGACAAGAATATCTACCCTTGCTTTCAACACTGTACTAGAGGTTCTGGCCCACACAATCAGGTACTGGAAAAAGAAATTTTAAAAACGCAGGTTGAAAAGCAAAAAATTTTTTCATCATCTATGTAGAAAATCTAAAAATAAATCTTTTAGAGCTAATTAGTGAATTTAACAAGGTTGTAGGATGCAAGAATTATATCCAAGTCAATTGTATTTCATAAGGAACAATCATAAACTTTTTTGAAATTAAAAGTGGTTTTTATTAGAAAGACGGTAGCCCATGCTTTAACCCTCGCTAAAGGTATTCAGTAAGAAAGTGCAGAGATTTTTATTCGCAGGTAACTGTCACACGCAGTCTTTATTCTGTCCCCACTCGAGCTTCATTCTCCACGTCCCTTTAGTGCACATCTCCCACACGCCCTCTGTGTGTCCTTTCTCTCCTCTGCATCTGTCTGTGCCCCAGCTCCAGGTGTCGTGTCTTCTATTCCGCTCTTCACTGGGACTCCGCTGGGACTCCGCTGGGACCCTTTCCTTATCTCCCTTTGCTCCTAACTAGCAGGACTCCGGCTTCGGCTTGGGCCTCGGCTTGGGTTTCTTCTCCTCCCCCTCGGCTTCTTCTCCTACCCCTGCTGCGGCTTCAGCTGCTCCCCTCCTTCACTTCAGCTCCTCCCCTCTCCGCACTGTGACTGATCAGTATCCAAAGGGCTCCATTCACTGCTGTTCTTCCCAGAACTCTCTCGCGTTGCAAACCAAGGCATCTCCCTGGCTTTTCTCTTGTTACTGTGACTGCTTGAGGGCTCTTCATAAAGTCTTCTCTTAGAATAGTTCTCTTTGGAAGCCCTGTCCTTACTTTCTAAACACTTGTTTTCCTTTCCTTTTTTCCTTCTTCTTTTCTATTTTTTCCATTGCTGTACTCTTACTACTGCTTTCTGAGATCTCTGCAGAAGAGCAAGAGGAAGAGGAAGAAGAGGAGAAAGAGGATTTGCATTTGTTTTTTGTGTTTACTCCTGCTCTCATGTAACTTTTTCTTTTTTACGTCTTTTTTCTTATTTTTCTTTTCAGTCTGTCCAATTTCCTAAGAAGTTTCTGTTTTTGATTTTGTATTAATTCTTGTTAGTGACTAAGAATTCAACTTCTGTATCTTCTTC